GATATGCCCAGCCATGCGACAAACGTTCTCTCTTACGTCTCCTCTATCAAATAATGTAACCATAGTAACAGGGTTRAGAGTTATCCTTACCTTGTGACAGGTTTTGTGTTTTGTTCGTACCATCTCTTGATAGTGTTATTTCTCTCAACGTAAAAGCAATGTGCAGCGGTAAGAACCCATTGTGGAGATACCAACGCACCACCACACAAGAACTGCCATCCTGAAACTGATGATGTAAAAAAAAGATAAACCGATGATACATTCCAGGCCAGAAGAGATACTTAGCTGTGTACTTTTTATTTGTAAAAGTACTTGACAACAGCATATATCATACTCATGTCATTGATACTCATTATTTCCCTTATAGTATGGCTTCAAATTTCGCAGCAGACAGCAACCAAAATTCAGTGGGATCCTAGATGGTAACCGTATATATGGTGAAAAGATTTTTGAGCAGAAAGTTTCTTACCACCTTGTTTTTTGTAGATACCAACTTGCCAAGGCCACATGCCTCGTCGCGAAATTTTTCCTCCGACAATCAACCCGCGTACTCTAATTAATCTCTCTCCACAATGGTCATCTATAAAACAAACGTGAATTTCATTTCTCTCCTATTTCTGAGTSGAAAGATTTTGTGTAGGGGAGTTTTTTATGTTGACAAAACTAGCGATCAGTATCCGATAGTGTATGGGAGTGCTTCATACTGTATATTGGAAAAAGTCGCGTGATTTGAACTCTGTAAATATAGAGATTGAATTAACACAATATTTACATGAAATTTACAATATTTACATGAGTTGGGAGCGAGCGATGTTTTCAAGTTTCAATCCATTCGACTTCTTACGCAAATTGTTGAATTGGTTAATGGATATGACCTCAGATCACATCGCTTGCATTGGGTTCGACAGCACAGTTGGTAAGATTTACTAAGCTACTTACATTGCAGCGAGAAGGCATTTAATGCGATGTTTACTATCAACAGTATAATTACCAAGATGACATCTCGCTTCATTATCTATATAAACAATCAATAAAGTCAAGCAACACTGAAGTAGGGCAATTCCTTCTTATATTGTCAGTAACAGATGTCATGCCATCAGTGTGTCATATGTTTACATCCCGGGTTTACAACTATCTCAGACGCTGTGGGAAGGTTTTACGATAGATCTAATTATAATTGCTGGCATAGAATATAGGTTTTGAAACGGAAAAATATTCCTTATTCTACAACAATTCACCCAGCTATTCCCAATTCAACTTCCCATAGAGAATAGACAGAGTATAGTGCGCCCCGTGTAGTGCGCGCTCTAACCAGAAATTTTCTGGACATAACGTTGATGTTAGAAGTACTAACTTAYTAGAGCCTGCGAGAGAAACAGAGGAGACCTTACCATGGTCTTCCTCTATAATAAAGCTAATATGAGATATTTATACTCACTGGAAACTATCAACAGTCAGAGAAGATCAGATCAGTTATAAAACATTTTGTACTTCATGGCATAAGTAACTGTACTCACCAACAAATCTCTAGAAAATCTGTCCAAGAATCTTACTGCCAAAGAATTCTCCGTCTACGTACTATGATAAACGGAACTGATCTACAAAACGTGCTTGTGTTCATATCACTTCCATGCATGTCTACAGGGATCATAGGTCAATGTGAGCGGAAAGGGGAGATTCGCTTATAGATGCGATATTCAGTGAATGTTTTTAAAAAAAATCCTTCTGTTTATGCATTTTAGAAGAAATAATGC